ATTGTTTTCCTTTTAGTATTTCTTCAGCTTTTTTCATGTACATTTCTTTATCTAATATCACTATGCTATTGCCCTTATCTGCCTTACATATGACTATATCTTTATTCGATCGTAATGATTTCAATGCTGCTAATTCTTCATCTGATAAATTACTCATCTTCTTATGTTTCGATGTTTTCATTAATTCTTGTGAAGCAGCGTAGACCTTACGACATATGGTACGGAAGACTGATGTATGACAATGAGACTGCAGTTTCATTACATTCAATTCAAGATCTGTTTCGAAATCTAAAAAATCCTTATTTTTCTTTTCTATACAGAAATCCCAGCCACGACATAATAATCTTTCTTCTGCTTTCGATAAAGTATACGATGAGATGTTGTGAATCAGTTTATGTTTCATTTCTTCGTAATTCTGTCCAATTGGACCTCCATTTAGTCTTTCCAATTTATCTTTATGACTTATCATTACTTCTCTATGTAGTTTTCTTGCTGAATTGTAACAAAATTTCTTTACATTAATATAATCTAAACTCGAAAGACGTTTTTCTAACTCTCCTAAGATAGATGTAACCTGTTTTTCTAGTTGTTTTGATTGTTTCAATCGAGACTCGAATTCACGCAGAACACAATCACGTTGAAATGATTTATATCTTTCTGATGTTCTTAATCCTGGATTCCATAAACGAATCTTAATAAAGTTAGGTACTAAATTATAAATTAAACAACAACGAAGAAACTCAATATCACACTTCGATTTCTGTAGTTTTTCGCTTAATTTTTCGCAATAACGTATACTTACCAATGTCGATTCGCCGTACTTCAAGCGAAGATTAGAAATAAAGGAAGAAGAGAGAGCAGTAGGTAAAATATGAGACAATAAAGAGAGAACTGCCGTAAAAATCATGAGTCTTATTTCGATCAGAAATAAAAGAGAGATTCAAGCTTTCAAGCTCTATCTGAGCTCATCATCAGGAATGACAATATAAAATCATTCGCCATCTTTATATAGGCAGTGAAAAAGAGAAAGAAAAAACATATACTAATACATAGGAGAATAAATGTACAATCAAATGGTTAATGTCGGCGATAACAATCAAAGAAGCCGACAACTTTTTCAACATAACACTGTCATATTGGCAAAGATAAATTTTACGATACAAAAACTACCTATATCGTTCGTGCAAGTATCGTTTTCAATCCATCGATTCATTATACCACATCTTATTCTTCGTTATCTTAGCTACAATTAGAAAAATCCTTAACTAGCAAATGAAACATACCATGTGTTTATTTGAATAGATTAAACAAGAAAAAAAGATGTCATTTTTTTCAATGAAACTCAACTTTCGTTGGCGGAAAGGACGTATTTTTGTCGATTTCAAATGACAACACAAAAATCAAAGACTTCAATTTCATCTTCTGTGAAAAATAACTGAGGAATCGGTATAAATTCTACTCAATATTTCACCAATGAATTCTTCATGTTTCTTCTGTTTCGCATTATCAGCATTAACATCCGTATGACCTTCAATTCAAACTACAAAACCCAATTGTATATGTTAACTTTCAACAAGATTATCAAATGAAGTGTTCACATTGATTTCACTTTGCATATGTACGAATTAAAAATTGGTGTTGGTATGTGCGTTTGAATGGATATTGTCGGAACATTGTTTACATTTATTTTATTTAACATTACAACAATCGACTATTAGAAAGATGAGTTATTCTCATTAGTTCTATTTCAAATCATTCAAATCAAAGATTGATATGATTTTCAATAGATCTTTCAAAAATCAACTGTATGTATCCGCACATTGATCTGAAGCAAAATGATGCAGATTTATTTTTTATCTATATTGGTTCTTTTCAAAATGATGTAAGAACAACTAGTGCTGCTTTCATGGAAGATCTTCAAAAGTAACATGTTCATGTTCATTCGGATTGGTTTCTCAAGAGCCATTTGTTCATGTTTATTCTGATCGACATGATCCATAACAACCTCTCTGATCGTTTCTTTGTGAAACAAAGATGTGTAGTCGTTGGTTTATAGTGTTGTGTTGACATGTTATGAAATGAATCGAGGAATAAATTAACAATGACAGTATTTTCATGGTGTGTGACGAAGGAATGATAAATGGGTTGGATTGATTTGTTCAGTCGGCGTGGCAATGAACTGTTGATGAGGTTAATTAAGATTCGACCGTGATTGACATTTGTGCACGTCGGAAATGATTATGGATGAAATGACGAAATTCGAATGTATATATACAGTCGGTTGTCACGCTCGTTCTAAATTGTGAAATTGTATTTTGGTTTAAAATTTGTTCGTTGGAGATGAATTCTATCTGTGAACAAAGTCTTTATAACGCATGTTCTTGCAAGAAGAAATATCATTTGCCTTTAGCATTACCACTCTACGATGGTCATTGCCATGTGGACCTATTTTTTAAATATGGATTTAATGAAACTCACTTCAGTTCACAACTTGCTCATGGACGGAAAATGGTGCTGATAGACAATCGTCATAACTTTCAGCGTTGGTTTGTGAATAGTCTGATCAACAATCCAAATGTAACAATATTCACTACATATGGAATTCATCCGAAATATTTACCATCTGATCGAGAAAATGTATTAGAACAATTTAAACAAATTTTTGAGAATAAATTAACTCTGAACACAATGAAAGTAGCTATTGGCGAATGCGGGATTGATGCGACGAGTAAATATTCTTTAAATGATCAATTATTTATATTCAAGTTTCAATTGCAAATGGCAGCTGATTTCGGCATTCCTGTCGTCTTGCACGGCCGAGGAGACAATTCATTTTCAATAATGCTGGAAGAATTAAAAACACATTTAAACTCAAAACATCATGTTCATTGGCATTGCATTAATCCAAATAGTAATTTGAACATTATCACAAAGGACAGGGGGATATAAGCTATAGGAAATGGGCGCTACGAGGTTCATTTCGAATTTGTTGTTCAATGTGTTTGGGAAGCTTAAATAAATGTTTATAAACTAGATTTAGACACAATTATGCACATTGAAGGCTGTTTTGAAGCAAAAATCACCTTTGATATTTCATAGGTGTTGAGAGGTTGGTATACTATTTGTAGTGGTCCAATATTTGAACAAAACGAACAGTTTTTAAAAAACGTTGAAACCTCAATTCATGATCATTAGAAAGAGCGTTTAATTCTGCATCTTTTCATATACGGATATGATTTTTTCAATAAATTATGAGGATCATTTGTAGCAATACTTTTTTATGGAGTTTCATAAACTTTGATTTTTTTAATGATATTTCACATTATTTTAATTCATCTTGAGTACTTTTTTTTCACGACCCTATTTCATTCATAGATCATTCGATAGAGAAAAGAAAGCGCTACAAGCTGGTGTATTCTGTTTTTCATTTCGAGTTGGTCCCGGTACTTGAAAACATTAAAAACTATATTCAGTATACAGAAAAACTCAATTTTTCTACCTTAAATCCGATTTTTCTCCGGTGCCCATCTTTATAGAACGCTTAATTAGCATAAAAGTTTTTTCAATTGATACTTAGCAACTCTTAAATGCTTATTTTGACATATAAAAAGAAATAATGAACAATTTTTGTAAAGTGGAATGACGGTAAACCAATGTATTTTCCATAGTTTTCCTACATAAGTCACTATACTTCCTAAAAGAAGTTGGTTCTTGCTTTTTTTGATGGATTATCGTTTTGTTCAATATATGATTCATCTTTAATGTTAGGTTACAGAACGGAAAATTCGGTTCGTTTCTTGACAGTTATCCATCATATGTATGACTCATCGTATACGTTCACTAGAAGAACGAAAAAGTTCGTTAGTTTGACAGTTAAGCTGTACATTTCCTTTTATAACGATAACTAATTTCGTTATTTTCCTATTGTCTGTTGTATTACTTTGCTTTTTGTGAAAAACGATGCCTCGTATTCCTCGACCAAGATGTGTTGGTTGTAATAAAGTTGTCGGAAATATAGGTCAACGATATATTAACAATGGTTTGTTAAAATTATATGTTTCTGCTCGTATTCAAAAACGAATCGATTCTACAAGTCTCATTTGTCATGGATGTCGATTGAAGTTGATGAGATGGCATCATGAAGTAGAAGATCAAATCAATGAATTTATTTCGAACGAAAACTCAATTAAAAATGACGATGACACTGACGAAGTAATCTTCGAAATAACTTTTTTGTCATGAAATTTTTCTTTTTAATTGGAAGATGGATATTCAAATGGAAAATAATTCTAAATATACTCAAACAACAGAGAACATGGAATCAATCAAGATTTTGGTTGATCGATGTTCGAATGATCAACGGTAGGAGATTTCTATTCGACTTTCATACCTCCAAATAAAAATGGATTATGTAGGTCATGTATTGCTTGCGGAGAAAAGAATGCTAACAATCGAACTCGGTTGGATGATTACAATAGAAATATGTTATTCATGAAGAAGGGAGTTTATGTATCACCTGGTGCTCGATGTTGTGGTGACCACTTTTATCAAGATGAATTATCTTACGAAGCAATTCATCAAATTGTACCGTATACATCTGAATTTGTCTGGTTTAATTCTAATGAAATTCAAAAAATGATGAACGATTTTCGCACATTGCTTCAGTGTCAGAGAGGACTTGATTTTGACAATAACGCTTCTCTTGGTGATGAAGCATATTATAATATCACTGGTCTACAAAAAGGTATGATAAATCATATTTCGATTTTCAGTGCTCAGAAATGTAGTTTTAAGCAAGAGTAATCAATTTCTCCGTTCAGCAGATATCTGAGATTGGCAAATCTTTGACAAACATTCACAGCAGCCGTGATAGCTTGTTTTTTATCGATTTTGCCTCATTTATGTTTTTGTTCAGATCAATTCAACGATCTTCTTAATCAATTACAGTCAATGCGCAACTCAAAGCTTCGCTCTGCTCGTGTTGCCCTTGCTGTATTTCTTGCCAAGTTTCGTCTCGGTCTGAGTAACCGAGTTCTAGCAACTATATTTTGTCTGAAAGACAAAAGGACGATTTCCAAATTAATCAATCAAGTACGACAAGCTTTGAAGACGGATTTCGTTCCACATCATATCGGTTTCAACCATATCGATCGACAATCGGTCATTGATCATCATCAAACAGCTGTTGCGACAGCTTTGCTTGCAACAAATTCTAATCAGCTTTGCGTTGTTATGGATGGCACATATCTTCCAATTCAAAAATCAAGCAATCATCCGTTCCAAAGAAGAACATACAGCATGCATAAGCATAAAAATCTTGTGAAACCAATGATAATAACTGCAACAGTATGTATTGATTGAAAATAAAGTCTTGGGTTTTTTCCCAATCTATAAAATAAGAATTTGTGCCAGTTATATTGTAAAGAAACAGTTAAAGAACCAATAGTTTATGAAACAGAGCGAGTAAAGAGGAAAAACAAAATATAGATACTGTGACTCTATCAACAGAACTGAACAATAGAAATGTGATTGTAGATACAGTCATTGAACTATATAAAGGAAGAATAAAGCAATTTCTACTGTTAGTGTACCTGTTGTCATTTTACCAAAGGATAATATTGTTATAAATAGTAGAGCTCGGATTTATTACTCGGAAAATATGGTAGAGATGTTTCAATCGAGAGGAGATAAGATTTGAAAAGATGGTAATTATCTTTTTATGATATAGGATGGTTATATATTGTCAGTATTCGGACCGTTTCTAGCTGATGGTCACAACAATGACGCATCCATTATTAAACACATTATGAGGAATGATGATCAAGGCATCACAAGTTGGCTTCACGACGACGACATAATTATTGTCGACCGTGGGTTTCGTGACGCGGTCAGCGCCATGGAAGAACTTGGTTTATGTGTTGAAATACCTGCATTTCTCAAAGGAAAAAGACAATTTTCAACCCAGGAAGCAAATCGAACCCGGGCAATTACTAAAAATCGATGGATAATTGAAAGCGGTACGTATACATAAATAAATAAATATACATAGGTTTTTCATTTTCTTCTTCGTTTATGCATATGTAGTGAATGAAAAAATAAAGGAATGGAATTACTTCAATCATCTTCACAACTCATCTCTTCAATATCTACCTGATGATCTTGATATTGTTTGTGCTTTACACAATGCATTTCGTCAACCAATAATGAAAGATCCAATGAATGGAATTGAACTAGCTAAAATCATGTTAGAGCAGATCGAAAAAGAAAACGAACTTGAAAAACTATTGATGCAAATATCTGACGACAAAAAGCACACTGGAGGAAGTATGATTCTCGAATGTGTACATTTCCTTTGTTAACCGAAAACGACGTGCGAAATATATGCTGTGGTTAGACTACATTTTCTTATTAAACATTATCTAAGATCACTTTTTAGGAAACTATCAAATTAAACAATCAAAATCCTATATCAACGAACATCTTCAACCATCGTTTCTTGATGAAAATGAACTTGAATTCATAGTAGAATTATGTAACCAACATACGGATTTGCTTCGAGTTAGATTTCATTCACGTCACAGCAATACAAAACACCACACAGCTACAGTACAATTTGATGACAATCAAGATCAACCCATACAAGCATGGTACTGTACGTGTGCGTCTGGCTCACGTACAGTTGGTTGTTGTGTCCATATTACCGCTATTCTTTGGCATATGGGTGTAAATCGAGGAGAAGTCAATGTTAATCTTCATCCTCTCTCTGCTGCTCGTTTACTCGGCTACGTTGATGACAGCAACAGCCATTTAGAAATTGATGATAACGACGATGAAAGTAACAATATCGATGACTAATTTCAGTGATTAACACTTTTTTCTACTAAAGTACTACTCTCTTCATTTATTTCTCTCAAGTAAATATTCTAGAAACTTCTTTTAGGAAGTATAGTGACTTATGTAGGAAAACTATGGAAAATACATTGGTTTACCGTCATTCCACTTTACAAAAATTGTTCATTATTTCTTTNCTTTTGATTAATGACAAAAGCTTTCTATCTTTCTCTGAAAGTTTTCTATTTCTCATCTTTCACAAATAAGTGTGCGAGAACTAAGGGAACAGCATCGCCTAATCACGCCCCCCATTCAGTCCTGACATAGAGCGTAGGTATCCTTCGGATCAAAATAGTTATTTCAGATGACATTGATTTTCAGTTTACTCGCGAAATATCCACGGTCTCATTCTATTGAATGCAGTAAAGTGTACACTGAAAAAAAATAAGGTATTCTACCAAACTCATCAAATAGGTTTCGTAGGTGTCCAAAGCTTCCAAATGTGTCGACATGTTCAAAAAACTAGTTTTCAAAAATCTACGAAACCAAAAAGGATCGGTCGGCGGGCACACGCTCCGAACCATCGTCTCGAAACCTTTTTTAAGTTTCGCGCGGTCCCAATAAAGGTTCGCCAGAAAATACGGAACCTTAAGGTTTCGCACTATGGTTTTGTACGAATCCATTAAGGTTTCGTATTTTGTGACGAAACTTAAAAAGGTTCCGTGGTGAGGGTTCGGGGTGTGTGCCCGCCGACCGATCCTTGTTTGGTTTCGTAGATTTTTGAAAACCATTTTTTTGAAAATGTCGACACATTTGGAAGCTTTGGACACCTACGAAACCTTTTTGATGGGTTTGGTAGAATACCTTATTTTTTTTCAGTGCACCCCATAATAAAAGCCCACCCCGAATAGAAGCCCATCCTCAATGTTATGATTTTCCAGACATAATAGAGGCCCACTTAATAAAAAATGTGTACATAATGAGACAAAAGAAAACAAATTATTTCGTTGATGAAACGAAATTCTTTTCAATACTATGTTCAGTAGATATGTGCTTTAGTTTGTTTCCTTCTCTTTCTACATACATTTTCAGACAACCTATTTCTTTTCGTTCTATCTATGTTTCTTCACTAGAGAATTTTTTCCGTCAGCTATTATCATTATAAGATATAAGAGAGAATTTCTTGTCGTCTAGCTCGTCGTAGAAAACAATGATAAGTCTATTGAAATCTTTACACGGCAGAATCATCTAGACATTTATTTATAACACACATCTAATCATTCTTAATGGAAAAAGATCATTTATTACCATTACCACCATCATCAATTGAATCAACTGATGATGAATCCGATTTTGCCGTCGATTCGGACGACGAAATTATTGAAAATGTTATACAGATGCTCGACAATGTTATGGATATAACAAATCTTACCGACGAATCGCAAGATGAAGCAGAAGAACAGTCACCAATTGGCCTGTCAAAGTCTTCTATTTCGGATCCAGCACCTGTGGTGTCTCAACCAAAAAATTCTTCTGTTGGCAACGATAAATCGTTCCAAAATGCTTCTTCAAAACGTCGTTCTTGGACTGTGAAAGAAAAATTAATTGCTATTAAATATTTTAAACAATGCAAAAACATTTCCGAAGTTTGCTGGCATCGACATTGTGATCGAAAACAGTTACGACAATGGTTAAAAAACGAAGCTCAACTGGTTCTGCTGATGAAAGAAAATAATGGGAAAAACCTGAAACGTATGAAAGGTCGCGGTGCAAAGATTCGTTATCAAGAGCTTGATCGACAGCTGATCCAATGGTTCAAATCAAAACGAACGAAAACCAACGATGAACAATCAAACGAACCAATCGAAATAAAAAAAGAACGAATCACATTCAAAAATTTGGTACGTCAAGGTGAAAAGATATCTGTTTCCTTAAAGATTCAACCTTATCCATCACAAAAGTGGTTTCGTCGTTTTATGAAACGACATCGTTTGTCATTACAGAAACCAAAAAGACAGCAAAAGATTTCTCTTGTCGAAGCTCATTGTAGAGCTACTGAGTTTTTAACGTTTGTAAGAAAGAGTGCTTCTCGTGTTCTAAATATAGGTGTGTTAGGATCATTTCCTGATCGAGATATTTGCAATATGGATGAGAGTCCGCTTGCCTTGTTCGGCGATCAAAGTAAAGCTAGCATCAATTATATGAACACGCCAAATGAGGTTGAAGGTTGTTTGGATAATAAAAGATTCTGCACTTTGGTATTAACTGTTTTTGGCGAAGACAATCGAGTAGCACCAGTTTTAATTTTTAAAGGAAAAGGACAAGTATTTGAGCGAGAAAAGAAATATTATGATAAGGATATCAAGGTCTATTTTAGTCCTACTGCTTATATGAATTCATCTATTATGAAAAGTTATAGCGAGTATTGGTTTAGTAAAACGAGAGATGGTCGACCAAAAATGATTGTTACAGATTCTTGTAAGTCTCACTTGACTGAAGAAGTGAAAAATTCATTCAAACGAAATGGTGTAGTCTTAGGAATAATTCCAGGTGGAATTACACAGTACATTCAAGTTCTGGATGTGTTTGTGTTTAGTGTCTACAAGACACATTATTGTGATGCTGCTGAAGAATGGATCGAAGTGAATGGACCAAGATCTAGCATTAAACTTAGCTCTTCACAGCAAAGAATACTGTGCACTCGTTTAGCGAGCACGGCTTGGAAACGAACATTAGGAAGTGTTAATTTTTCTCAAAGCTTTCGAGATTTAGGCTACACTTGGAATGACAAGAGCATAGTGACAATTAAATCTTTACCAGGTTATTCTTTCGATCCAGAATCTATAGATTCCGAAGAGTATGTAGAGAATGCAAGTAGTTTAATAGAAAAAGTTGATGAAATAATTGATATGCAGCCGATCAAAGCTTTAAAACAGGGTACATTACTTTCATTTTGGAAAAAATAAATAATATTTCGTTTTTATTGTTATGTGATATTGTATATTTTTACTTGAATTAAGTTGTATTTGTTTTGTCCATGAATATAATAGTAAAAAATGTGTTCATTATCTTTATAAAGTTGTGTTCAAGCTTTTTTATGTGATAATAGTAAAGGAATGCAGATGAATAAAGAAAAAGATGAAAGTGATGATGTTATATGTACTAATGCTTTAAAATTTACTTGGATACTCTTAGAAAGGCGAGAAAAAATGATACCTTAATAGAAGCCCACCTTTAGACTTGTAGTTTTCCAGACACATTAGAAGCCCAGTGGGCTTTTATTCTGGGGAGGGGTTTACTCGATATAGGTAGATTATCGATCGTTATTCCTGCTTTTGTTCGCTAAGGACGATATAAATTGAATGCAAAATTTGAACATAAAAACCTGCTCTTACAATTGGATGTTAATCGTCATCGTTTAGTGAAAGCATTTTATGATATAAATCCAACTATAAGTCAGGTAAAATGTATTTATATGTTTTATTAGCTATTCTTAAACAACGTATTTATACTAAACGGTTACCTTCATCTTTTAATTTACTCGATCATTCTATTGATAATGTTGGACAAATGTTGTTAAAACAACCAGTACTCAATCAAGATAAACGTGCAACGTTATCTTATCGCCGATTGAAAACAATTGCACAATTTAAATGTGACGTTACCATATTAATTAGCTATTACTATTACTGAAGAAACAATTCGATGTCATAAGAATATTATTGTAGAAGCAAAAGAAGAAATTGATAGATAGCGCAAATACCATCTATATCTAAGTCTCTTGTTCAAATGATGAATGCTATTGCAGCGTGTCAAATCAATTTAACACAGTGTCATCAACTTATTCTTTAACAAAGCTATCGGTTTTCGATGACGTTCCGATGGTAACAAACGCCGCTGGTACCGTCGGAGCGATGCAATAGAGAATTTCAATCATATTCTTCCATTGAAACAATTCTTCTATCTTACTAATGGTCCTAAATATATACCACCATGTCAAAGTCTTTTCCCACATCAATCAATTGAACAGATTATCACTCGAGAATACAATAACATTGTTCGATGCTTTGAATTTGGCCTAGCAAAGAATTGTATTTCATGTTCTGATAAACGAGCAAAAGATTTCTTTGCAGTTGTAGAAAATCTTCCTTGTCAATTGTATACAACAGCATTGTTTTCTCAACTATTAGCTCGTGTTCAACATGAATCTCGTACTATCAGAGGTATTCGACGTCAACTTAAGACATCAAATGTTGTGATACGACCAACTGACAAAAGTAAAGTGTTTTACTTAGATAGTGCTCATGATTACTATCGAAAAGCACTGCAATACATGCATATAACAAACGCCTACAAGGACATAACCAGTGGTAGCAATCTCTGTCATGAAAATATACAAAAAGTCTCAGCACTAGGGATGCACCAAATCCAATTCCAATCAAATCCAAATCTTAGATTTGACTGGAGTTGAGTGGAGTTGGATTTGGATTTGACTAGATTTGAATTTGACCAGATTTGGATTTGGATTTGATCATTGAATCTTGTCAAAGCTTTAGACTTTCTATACATTCGATAAGTTACAGTGTTGGAATCAGTAAGAGTGAATCAAACTGTAATGTGGATTTGACAATAGGTATTTCACCTTTTTTGAGACAAAAATCTGGAAAGACTTGTAAAAGATGGCAAGTTTATTTCACTGTGATTCAGTGCTAGTTCGAGTAGAAATACAGTTCAATAAGATCGAAATTTAATTCTGACTAAATATGAGCCACATATCAGTCAAACCTGGTCAAATCCAAACCCAAATCTAGTCAAATCCAGTCAAATCCAAATCCAACTCTGATCAAATCCAATCAACTCCAACTCTAGANGGAAAGACTTGTAAAAAATGGCAAGTTTATTTCACTGTGATTCAGTGCTAGTTCGAGTAGAAATACAGTTCAATAAGATCGAAATTTAATTCTGACTAAATATGAGCCACATATCAGTCAAACCTGGTCAAATCCAAACCCAAATCTAGTCAAATCCAGTCAAATCCAAATCCAACTCTGATCAAATCCAATCAACTCCAACTCTAGAATTGGATTTGGATTTGACTGGAATTGGATTTGGTGCATCCCTGCTCAGCACTGATAGATCCAATGTTAGAGAAAAGAGATATTAATCTTAAACTATGGAGACAAAAAATGCGACCAAGTCCAATCACGACTGAATTAGCTCTTATTTTTTCGCCAGATTCGAATACTTTTAAGACCGACTGTTTCACCAATTAAAGCAGCAGCCACTGGTGTTTCACATTTTTTTAGATTGTTTACTACGTCCAATGTTCGATCAAATTGCAAGAGAAACAACATTTATCAGCGGAATTGATGTTTTTCGAAAAATGCAAAACTATCGAGACAATGGCCGTCTTCTACCAGCCACATTATTGGTCACTTTTGATGTGACCACTCTGTACATAATGATACCTCGAGATGGAGCCATACTTGCTTTACAGAAATTTTTAAATCAGCATGCATAAAATCATAGAATTCATGACATGGCAATTCATGCTATAATAAAATTGGCTCGTCAAGTACTGGATACCAACTGTTTTGTATTCGAGGGTAAATATTATCAACAGGTTCTTGATGGAGCTTTGGGATCACCATTTACAATGACATTAGCCAATATTTATATACTGAAATGGGAGCACTCTTTGATTGAATTTCAAAAAGCAAACAATGAAATCTGTGGCAGGTAAATTCTTTGAACATTTGTTCCTTTTTATTTCGCTTCTATTTTCTACTTAGATATAGAGATGATGTCTTTTTGACAGCTGATTCATTGCATCAACTCTGTATTAAATTGAATATAGCAGAGAAAAAAGACGACAACGTTCGAGTAACCTGATCAATTGGCTCAGCAGTAGAGTTTCTTGATATACTCATTGAAAATCGTCATGGACAGTTGAGAACTTCCGTGTTCCACAAGCCAGCAGCTGAGTCATATATTTTACCATTTTCATCTAATCATTCACGTCATGTTCATCGCGGTGCAATCAAAGGACCATTACTTCAAGCAGGAAGTCTCACTTCTCATGCTGAAGATTTCTACAATGAAAAATTACATACTGAATTTATCTTATTATTAAAGAGCTGCCCACCAAAATTTATTTCCTATCACTGTCCAGAAATTTCTCGACCAAATAATATGGAGTCATTTATGGACCACCTCGTCAACCAACCTGTCGAGAGAAACAGCAACAAAGCACTATTTTTAGTAGCACTCAACGGCAGACGTCGGAGGAGACCGAGATTTATGTTCACTATACTTTTGAAAGCGGCTCAATGTTACTTTTCAGACAAAAGCTGATGAATCTCTGAAAGCAACATTTTCTGAGCGATAATCCAAGCATGAATGCTATGCATTTAAAGAGAACAACAAAATGCAATTGAAAGGTAACATATATAACAATGAACATAAGAACGAATACTTCAAAATATGACATACCGATCTTAATCACTGAGTTCCTTTTCTAAACATGTTTCTTAATTTTTATTCTACTTTGCTATTTCACCGATTCATATGACCTGATATATTCATCGTACTAATTCACATTTTACATATAACATTCTTATTTTGTTTTGCTTTACTAATGAGCGTTCCTTCTTACAGAGATTTTCGCTCTAGTTTCGACGACACAAATCAAATTGTAGAGCAAAAATCGCAACAACAACTACAAGAACAATCAGAAAGAAGAAAGATGGAGAGTCGTGGTAACTGAAAAATGCAACGTTATCGTCGAAAATCGCGCAAACAATGTGTAAACATATCTGCCGAAAAAGCACCCCTCAACCGCCAATGCAATCATTAAACAAAATGATTCGCTAGCTAGGAGTTCGACTGTTGATGAGACAGGCTTTCGCCTGGTTGATTCAGCTAAGAAAATTACAAATGAATTAGTAGCAATCACAAACTCTAAGCTAGTGGCAAAGATAAATGATTGAGTTAACTATGCTACTGTATCAGATGAAGTATTACATCAAATAGCATCTCAAGCATTCAGACGGTCAGAAAAGTTTGGTAACATATTTAATCAAATCGAAAAAATACACTTTATTTGTCAATATATTAGTTTAATTGGTCAGTTAGCTTTTCAACGACTACAAGGAATTCGATGGAAATATTATCTTCGCATCGGTATGACAAAGAACATTTGGTATGGTCGTATGTCAAAAGTAACAGCTAAGAAGTACTCTATCAGTTATACATATGGTAGATCGACAACTCTTATTCAGCAACGCTTGAAACAAACTCAAAAACATCTGGAAAGAGCAAAAACTGCAACTGAACAATTTGAACATGATGTATTATTGAAATGTGAACAAAGCAATGATTGTTTATCTGCAGTGAAGGGAGCGTTTTCAATTTTTAATAAATTGGTACAGGAAAAGCAGGCACCGCTAAGAAATGAATTCGAATATAAAAGAGCAATATTAAACCTAGACGCAGATGATCATTATTTATTACAAAAGTTTTTCTATCTTAAACCGAACAAGACACATGTATATATATATGATCTATAAAGTGTTTTAAAACATTGTGTACTTTCTTGTTTTGAACTTATTTCAGATTATCTCAGCCAGACGTATATGGAAAGCTACAGAAAAACAATGGATAGCTGAGAAGTATGGCTCTATTACAGCATCAACTTCTGTAAATACAAGCATAGTCATTATCAACACCTAATGTAATTCATCATATTCATGCTGATCTTAAAAATTTGGATGGAAGTATGGAAGTATCTTCTACTATTGACTGTTTATTAAATGCTAACGAGAAATTGAAAGCCTTCAAAAGTGATATTATTCATCAGATAATTTCAATTTATGAGAAAAAATTACAAATTTGAATACAATCACACAGGCTGAAGGGCACAGATTCTTTATAAAGAATAGATTCTTGCAAACAACATCAGAATGGTAAAAGATGGTGCTTAAAGCTATTGAAATTCGTCGATCGCATATGATAGAGCGTGCACACTACGTAAACAAATATAAAGTAACAACATATTTCAAAGTAAGTAATATTCCACATCACGATGATTATTGAACTCTACTTCATTGGTTACGAGAGAAACTTAAACATATAGTATGTTCCACACACTTTTATACGTAAGAATAGTGATTCTTTGTTTCATACAAACTTTGCTGACCCTTTCTATTCGCTTCGTCAGGTGTACCACAACCTTTATTTCCCTATGTTCCTTCTGCTTCCAGATATATTCATATGGTGCACGATCCAAGGTACGGTATCCAGAATCCATCAGTTCATCTCAAGATCACCACATAGCATTTTCTAGGACATTGATGCAAAGTAAGTAAAACTTTCCTAGTCTACATTAACTATTCCAATTTCACACAAACAAAGACACCGCAACAATTTCGAAATAACCCTCAACCCACAAATCGTCTTTTCGGCACACTCAATGAACTACTTAAACAATTTTGAGCTACTGTAAATTTTTCTCTACAGCCTAATCATTCATTATTTGTAGAACAAAACTGAAATCCGGATTGTGGTAGTTTAGTTCGAAACTCACATTCTCACCCTCAAGATGGTGTTTGTAATAAGCATATTAATTCATTAGTTATTTGAGACATGAGACCGATTGCTGAAAAGTTAAAATCGAAATTAGTAGATTAATCTGTATCTTAAAAGGTATAAATTAGTCTATTTTATATTGACTTACGCACAACTTTATTTAATGATGGTGAAGAATGAGAAAAGGTTAGGTTTCTAATTAAATCCTACGGCAATTAGACAAACTCATACGAACATCAAATGATCAGTTGTGTGAAGTGAAACTGTAATCATCATCCTTTTTTCGTAATTAAAACTGTTTGATGAAAAACAATTACAGTTCGGTGGTTCGTTGAGCTTGAATTGAAGTATTAATTATGCCCCGATTTTTCTGATGTGGAATGGTACACCCGATCACTTGTCTCTTCTTTATTGCAAATATCTTGTATACAGTAGCTCGATATTTTGATGATTGTAAATAGTAAACATAAAAGCTTGTGGACAAGAACGAATAGTTGATTAAATAGATAATTGACTGTGCCAGATTCTGTATTGTCTGCTGCATAGTATTCCTTACCCAATTTGTTGTAATCTGTTGATAGACAAAGTAGATGAATAATGTCATTGATTGGAAAAGAAAAACAATAATTTGTAGGAGCAGCATTCTTGCTAGTTGATTGTCCATACGTTGTCGCCGAGCGTTTTGAGTAACTACTTCAACTGGATAAACGGATGCTCGAAGACTGTAATATGTCTTGTATCCAGCAATTGACAGAACGAACAGTGGTGCCACAGTCATCATACAAGAAAATAAAAAGTACGTCAAATATCTCCGATAAGTCTCCGAAGAAACGCATGTACGGGAACTACTATCAATATACCAGTACGGCAGATCAGGAATTGCGAGACACATTGATACAAAAATAATAACGAAAATTGTCCAGTTGGCCACTTTTACTGAGCTCCACTTTCGATGACTGGCTTGACGAGATGAACACAAGTAACGGTCTACTGATGCTAGACAAAGTGTCCACGTTGAAGTTAAATAACACACATCAATCAGATAGTTGTCGATTTTACACCAAGCATCCGAAGATTCCGTGCCTTTTTTACCATAAATCACACCGATGATGGCCGGTAAAATAGTGATGAGTAGACATATATTATTGGCAACATCCCCTACTAAGAGATACCGTGAGCAGACACTTTCTTTTAATTTTGTTGCGAATATGAAAATATTCAACGTGTTACCGATTGAACCCGTGACAAAGATAACAATATAACCATAGAGCCTCGTTTGAGTTCTAATATAGTTGAGAGTATTGATCGTTGCGATTTGAGACATTATGTTTAGAGACGTGGAGCACAAAGAGGTCGATAAGTAGCTAACAACTGCTGATGAAAGTGACAGTTCTTTGAATGAGAGAAACATTCTAATTATTTCTCTGCGATGTTCATTTTCCTTTGAGTCTTTCTAATGAGATTTATGCGGTTGCTTTTGATTATAATGAAAGTGAACTTAATGGAATACTTAAATAGAAATTAAAGAAACATCTTCCGAGTCACGCAAAAATCGCAGAAAACGGTGCAATATGAAGGTGAGAGTCAGGGCGAATCAAGGCACGTCATTATGTCGAAAAGAAGTAGTAAAAAAAATGAAATTCGTTTGCGTGTATGTCTGTCGCAGGTTAGAGGGCAAAGTTCAAGTTATATTGATATCAACAATACTTCATAAAACAGGGCTTTTGCAGGGATGTTGATGGTAGATCTTGACAGCAGAGGTTGGATGAGAATCGGCGTGAAAAAAGAACATGTTCTGCAAAAGACTTCAAGTTGTAATAACAACAGTTGGTTAGGGAAAACCGAGTCCCACGACAACATACTTGGTAACATTTGCAAAGAAAAGCAGAATTACTACGAGGGAACTGAAAGCTTTCAGACCAAACAGCAAACGTGTTAATCGAGATTTGTCTAAAGATCGCATAATCAAGCTCAGGGCTCTCGATGTGGGGTGTGCTACCCCTCACCACTGTTGAAAACAATTGAGAGCCTAGAGCAAGCACAAAACCATCGGCCGTAGACTAGACTTACTTGAAGCGAAATCTCCACGACCGAGTGAGATCTACTTTCATACGATCAAAAAACTCGCGCAGACAAAAAGGCGTATTTTATGAGGAACAAATCAAAATTTCTGGTACTGAATCTTCAGTACATAAACGACGCACCCAGAGAAGACTCTCTGATTCAACAAAAAGTGGAGTGAGTTCGTGTAAATATTTACCTAAATGTGAAATACCTTGCAAAGACAGCGGATTTCCAATAAATAGCGACCGCAGTTCTATGCCAATCACCAGAGCAGTAGGATAAAGCGATGAGCGGCGATCTGAACGATCGCTATTCATCGCTTCCACCGAAAGACTTATCTCAACACCCACCTAACACCTCACGGTAGATTTCAAACAGCCCAATGCGAGTGCACTCAATGTGTACTGGATTTAACGTGCTTCTACTTGAGTACAATCATACTATGTACTTAGTACTTTATGAAATCCTCTGCCTGATCACATTTAGCGAAGAGAGCAGGCTTGTTCTCATCAATGAGAGAATCGTTATGCAGTCTATTTCTGTTTGTTTCTTTTGCACATGTATGAAGGATACCCAGGACCAGGACGAGTGATGAGACGTAACTGATAAATAACAGCTAGATAAGAATTTCTCACCAGGTATCACTGTGTTTACTTTCGGTATTCATGAATACAAACAATTATCCGACATCGTTGAAATTCCTTAGTACAGATCTATAATATTTATGAAAATTAATTAAATATCGCGATTTCGTTGTTCTTATAGACGCCACTGAAGTATGGAGTTTTGAAATATTCGTAGACAGAATCAGCTTCGAATGACAAAAACACACTTGAAGTCGAATAACTGTCTGAGCTAATACGAAAAAAAACTTCGTGACATATATTGATTTTCTTTTTAATGTTATATGTAGAATAAACATATCCCTAGGTCGATTCTTTTCACCAATAGGTTCCACATCAGATATTGCTTTCTAAACCTTGTTTCATTCTTTTGCTGCAATGGTTTAAATCTTCGATTTTCTTGATGACTTTGCCTGAACAGGCAAAATTGTTGCTCTTGAAATAAAAAATGATTACACACCTGGATATGATGTTGCTTTAGACAGAACAGAAAATGCTTTTGAACCATCATTACCTACATATCTTGTACAACAAATATCATATTTAGACACAGATCGATTGAAAATATCATGAACAGCAAAAGATCCCATCACACGCCAGCTTTTTGATGGTAAGGAAAAATTTTCCCACTGATTCAAGTTTCGAAACACGGTTGTAAACAACAGTGAAAAATAAGTAACTTTTATTAGTATAAAAATCACCGAAGTTTGTATAGATTTTCAAAGGATTTTCAAATCTTTTTAAGTTTTCGAAAAATGCGGATGGAGTTTGTCTGAAGTAATCAAAAAGATATACAAATTCTGAGAAAGTAAAATTTCGATGATCGAAGGTTTATCAGTACGAAATTACAATGGTCAATCACATATTTGCCCTCCCACGATCTTGAATACGCCACTAGATGTAACGAATTTATTCGAAGAAATTGCCTCTCATTAAAACAAGTTTCTTCTAGAATCTGCACATTTATAGATTAATAACAAACTTTGAAGGTTTGAAAAACAGCTTTTTATTCATCTTTATTTAAGTTTTTTAACTTGTAAAATATACACGAAAAGAATGTTAGCATTATAATATGACTTTTAATCATTGATATAAGATAAAAGAAATATTATCAATGACACCATTATTAGAAGTGCCCATCGCACGAATAAACTCAACAAAAACTTGAAAAGAACGAGTACCAACTGGCACAAGCCCAGTTGCTTGTCGAAAAATTAGCGAAGTTATACCATTACGATCTGAAGCTAAAACTGGTCCAATGGTTATACTGTTCCCAATCGTCTGATCAGATCCATCGAAAAACGTTAGTGAGACTCGACCAGTATCATCTTGACTATTCAAACCACCAATCCAAGCCGAAAAATTGTACGAAAGTGTTTGATTATCAATTAAAGGATGAAAAAAGCTTGTGAAATTTCTTGTTTGCCACATTGTGGTCGAGGCACTGGCTTGACCATAGAAATGGCAATTACCGCGATCACTATGAAAAGAAAAATATCAACTCAAACCAATCTCGAATTTTTTTCTTACTCTGGTCCTGGATCTGTCAAAAATTGAAATGAGTATGTACTATTATAATATTCTTGAGTTACTGTTCCATTACAGTTCCAATCAGTTGGATTTAAAACAACATTATCTGATGTACATGGGCCAGTTTCTCCGTCACCATTAACTATCCAATTTCTTTGAAGGACTTGAAAATATCAAATCAATGATTCTTTCTTTATAAAGAATTATATTTATAATACTTACCAGCTGTCAAAGATCTCTCATCGATTGTAGTTATAGTCACAAAATTTTCTTCATTTATTATTTGTCCATATTGTCTGATAATATCAGTAAACATTTCACATGAGCCAGTTAATTCATTAAAAATAGCTGTTCGGCAATTAATATTATCTAAACAAGCCATTTCACAGTTTTTGAAATTCGACACAGAAATAATTGTAATTGGTGAACACTGAGGATCAACACATTGATATCGTGCATTATAAAGAATTGATAATTCGATTGTACGGATATTTTGCAATGGTAATTGACTAGCACACGTAAAGAATGATAATAAGATTATGAATTTCATATTTCAAATGACAAGAAAATAATTTTCTTGTTCAACCGAACCAATTTGATGAGAAAGAAGTTGTGAAAGGAAAAAGAAAAATCGTTCCTTATATTACAACATAAATCTCAAGAGAACAACTACTTAGAACATTTTAGTAATTTAGTGCATTAAAGATAAAATGTCATTCATTTCGACATTATTCGGAAAGGTATTCATCAAAGATCTTCATAATCTTACTATGGATGAAGTTGCTTGATTCAAGTATTTGATAGTTCTTCAACTAAAGTATTGTTCCATTACATTCTCTTTGATTACAAATGTACTGTGAAGATGAAGAAAACAAACTGAGAAACAACAAAACCTTTCATAATGAATACCACTTGTTTGAGCACATACTCGAACTCCTCCGATCAATTTCTGTTGTAAATTTTTCTCCAAGGGAGAACAGCAGACTCCAGGACTCCAGTGGAGCCCTGAAATCCTAGAAAATATGATAGAATATTATGTGACAATTTACCGCTTTTCTGAAAATGATCCATAAAAGAAATGAACTTAGCAAAAATGCTAAATAAACGTTAACGTTTCGCATAACGAAGAATGACTGTTAAATAATTGACAATATTTTTTTTCTCTTTAAAAGGCACTAATAGACCATAAAGTAATTCAATAAAAGAGGCATCAACACAAAAAAAATCAACTATATAGTAAAATGTGAGAAGCATGAAAGAAACGATTTATCAGGTTAAAAAGTAGTCAGTAGATCTGTAGGTACATTAAGAAAACAATCACAAAACAAATCATCTGAGAAATAAAACAGAGTATAATGTTTTGTATTCAAATCTTATCAAGTTCTCAGTCGTTTTGAAGATTGTCGTGTGTTATAAGGAGGTTTTATGAAACAAAATTCCCTTTTCATACGTTTCTCACTTGCTGTTGATAGTTCTTGTTGAGACTTGTTTTCTATCCAGTGTCGGTGATTGTGTTTGCTGAGTGAAATCTTCAACTGGTGATGCTGATTGCCGTTGACTATTCGCTGCTGTTATGGACTGAGGATTGCTTATTATATCTTCCATTGTTTGACATAGATAACCAGAACGAAATCGTAAAAGGTGACGATAGAAATTCGACATTTGAAAACGTTCACGTCTCACGTGCAATGCTATCCATCTATTACAGGAACATTTTATACGACCTTCTAATCCGCCATTCGAATCATCTTGTACTGAGATGAAGTAATGTTGGCTCTCAATCAATCAAAAATTCCAGAGATTAAATTCGGATTTGTTATTTTGGCACCAATTATTCATTGTTTCAATGATGTATCTTTTACGTCCATTGATCGACAAATTCGAATCTTTAGATGATATAACTTGACGTGGCACACTCGTAGTAGTAGTTGGTGCTAATTGTGATGCAAATGATAATGTATCTGTAATTACGCTTCAAAAATTTTCATGACTTTGCATCATAGGCACATTTTGTTTTAATAAATCAATTAAATAATCGATGTTTTCCTTCACGCCGAATTGTAAGATCTAAGTGCTATCGTTAAGCATGAATCTATATTTTTTCTTTAAATTATCGAGGCTTTTCCTTTTAATATCTATAATAGAATAAACGTTATTTGGCATTAATAATGATTTTACACAGTTAATGCCTCGTATGTCAAGGAAATCAGCAGTAGCATTACCAATTTATTTTTGAACAAAATTGATAAAATCATTATCACGTAATGACATTATTTTCGATGGTAGCACTGCTGTATCAATAAGGGTATCCAGTTGGAATTTATGTGGCATATATGCGGACGACAAAGGATTTTTCGTTCGATAGATGTTGTGCGTGAAGAACGAGAAATAGAATCGACCTATCTGTCTGTACAGGATCTAATCCATTATTCGTGAATGCAGTCCACCAATCACGATTCAGAGACTATTTTCTATGGAAACTTTCCAAAATATGTTTAGCGACGTATCATGTTTTTCCCTCGACTGTACGGAGGGTCATGTCGAAAAAAAGTGGTTCGAAAACCGAAATTCGTTTGTTTGTCTGTCAAAGGTCAAAAAAGCATTTTTTCCAAAAATGCTCAAAACCTCATCAAACATGGTTTGGGACGGGGTGGGTGAGGGTGGATGTTGGCAGGGTGGGGTGGGAGGGGGGGAGTGCTTAGGGTCAAGGGTCAAAAAAACTTTTTCCTGGAAATATTTAAAACTTCATAAAACATCGTTTGGAAGGGATTTCGAGATTCGTAGTTGATCTACACGGTGTTGGAGACTTCGAGCCTTTGTAGGAAAATATCAAGCGCTGAAGGATACCGGAAAGAAATCGCTCGGCAACCCGATTGAGGACCCAAAGGTGTCAGGAACAGCTTGGGCAGGCGTTGTTATTCAATCAAATAGTGGCAGACTTCGCTTTATGCAGTAAAAAGGTAAAAAGCCGAAAGCACCTTCTTTGTAAAAGAGGGTGTGGGCGAGGGTTGTGATCATACAAAGTATATCTAGAGAAGTGGAAGGTAACATTTAGCCTGAGGTACCCCGCATGGGTTCAACAACAACAGAGCGTTTTGCAGAAGTGCGTGCAGCAGAGGAACTATGAGTCCAGAGAAGTAATCAACGATGACTAGAAGTGAACAATACGCGTCATGGAAGGTGAGCTCTCTAAAATATTTGTATTAGTGACACGTGCAAAGCCAATAATGTAAGAACGAAAGGAAGGTAGCTATGAAGTAGCTCTGCATATTCATGAGTGCAGCAGCGAAAGCGATGAGTGTCGATCTGAAAAATCGACACTCATCGCTTCAACTATAATTCTTCGTCTGTAACGACAGTAGCTCCCTCCGGCTAACGTTTCTGAAAGCCTAAAATGGTAAACTAGTGTAAAAGATTTGATCTATCGAGTTAGGATATTACAGCATTCTTTGCCTTGTTTCTCATGAATATCAAAACATTTACGGGAAGCAGATTTCTAAGGAGAGAAAAATGAAACGATGAGAAGTCATATTACCCACATGTACAAATAGATTGTAAATATCTAAGCATTGAAACCGACATATCTGTAACGGAAGAGGATAATAGAACTGAAAATACAATCAATCGTTTACATTTGAATCTAGCTCAAGTTAAACAAATGAGAAAGTCAACATTTGCAACGCAAAGACAAAGTAAAGCTTACGCGAGAACAAATCCATTCTGTTGTCAGTTCTGAATAGTGCTGTATCCAAACCGACAACATTCATAACGCCAATTCGACCAGCTACAATATTATTCTCGAGTTCAAAATCACAGAGTTACATATTTCACTAGATACGGTTATCAATTGAATTACAACTGACTTCAAAGTCACTCTATATTCCAAAATTCTCAGTCAAAATTCCATTCTCTCTCAGACGATATTGTATGAGCAAATAGATGTCATACACACGATTAAAAACTATCGAAATTCTATAGTTGCAAAAATCTTTTTGGATTTATTTTTTCATTTCGGGCTTCGAAATAGATTGCAGTTACTCGATTTGTTGCTGTTCAAGGAGCAGAATCGAAATGACAAGAAATTGAAGTGGAGTAATATCTTTTTTCTCCAATATGTTCTGTATGAGCACATGGATGTCACACACACGATTAAAATTATCAAATTTTTATATTCATAAAATTCTTTTTCAATTTATTTTTACGTATGTTACTTTAAAACGTGTTCTAGTTGCTTGATTTTCTGTTATTTACTGGATAGAGTAATAGCAATGAAGAAACAGACATAAAAACTTTTCTTTTTTTTCTAATGTATTGTGTATGAGCAGACAGATGTCACACACACGATTGAAAATTATTAAAACTCGATATTTACAAAAATCTCTTTGGATTTATCTTTCCATTTTTTGCTACGCAATAGATTGAAGTTGTTTGATTTGCTGGTGTTTAAT